GCGGCTGCTGCGTCAGGGAACCAGGGGTTCCCATCATGTGCAGCGACGGGCGATGCCAACCGAGGGGACACGGGGCTGGGACAGCTCAGGGCTGGCCACGCTCACAGCCAAGCAGCCTCTTCCCCAGCTGGTGTCAGGGTCCCACAGCCCAGCTCCTGCCACCAGCCCCCAGAACGTGGCCGCTGCAGCTGCAGGTGCTGCCCGGGCCCTGCTCCTGGAGCCGGGAAAGGTGCTGCCCCCGCCTGGCATGGACAGACAAAGGATGTGCTAGAAGGAAGCGCTTAAAAAAAACCCACAGAGATGGAGCCAGGAGCAAAAAAATAAGGTCCCCCTTCGGTTAGTGTTTCCTACAGTGATTAAAACAAGCATTTCTGCCCCTGCTCAAGCAACTAGCAGTAGAGAAAGAAGGGACGGGGTGGCCAGCAGGGTCTGTGTCCCACAAGCACGGCAGAGCGAGGCTGCCAACATCCCTCCCAGCAGCCTTAAATACCTGGGTGGGGAGAGGAGAGGGACTGGGCTGCAGGGCAGGGGGAGGCTGGATTAGTAAAATGTACAAGTTCATCTCTTCTATTTACAACCAATAAATATTGAAAAAAAAAAAAATCAGTAAACTTTTGTTTTATACAAAAAAAAAGTCTCATTGCTCCTTCTCCCATGGTCAATGTTTGCAGAAGTCTGGTTAAAGCCCAAGGTGAGTGGCACTTCTGTGGGTCAGGTGGTGGCAGCTGGGGCACCCAGGGCGTCCTGGGAGCTCCCTGGCTCCTCACCCACCTTGGCAGACCCAGGGTCTCTATTTACACCAATTCAGGCAGAACTTCACTCTCCTCCTCCTGGACAGGCTGGCAGCGCTGGGGGCACAGCCCAAAGCTTCTCCCCCCCTGGTAGCAGAGACACTGGTGTTTGATCTTTGGTGCAGGTTTGAACACAGGCCATCCAAGCCCAGCTGGAGGACATGCTGGATCAGGGAGAGGAGCGAGACCACGCAGCTTCCAGTCATCAAGAGCACGAGGGGCCCCCTCCATCATGGCACAGACACAGCTCTCCATGGGGCTCTGAGCACTGCTGCAGGGCTGCATCCTCCCCAGCCCTGGGAATCCATGGCTTCTTCCAAGGGAAAGGACAGGCAGAGACGTGCAGCGGCAGCAACGCAAGTTATCCCAAGGAGGAAGGGCATGGAGGTAAAAAAACACCACCAGGAAAGCTGGGAAGGAGAGCACCCTTGCCATGTGGGAGGCTTTGCAGCCCTGGGGTGACAACTCCTGCTCTGCTCCTTGCAAACGGCCCCTCTGCCAGTCCCAGCTCCCCAGCTGGCTCGGACACAAGGCACCTATGGCAGAGGTGGGCTCCAGCCCTGGGCTGGCCGGCGGCTGGACTAGTGTTGCACCGTGGAAGGTTAAAAAAAGGGGAGGGGGAGGAAAAAAAGAAAAGAGAGAAATCCCCCTTCGCTGCCTTCCTGTGTAAAAAAAAAAAAAGACCTGATTGAAACGGGAGCTTGTGCAGAGAGAGGTGGAGGCCGACACTGGTTCCCAAAGCACCCTTGGCTCTGGGTGCAGGGGCAGATCCACGGCCGCCCCCGCGGGCCGGGGCAGCTCCTCCCTGCGTGCCAGGCGGCCC